GATGGTCATGTCAAGGAGAGAAAATATGTAGATGGTATTAAAACAAGTTCAAAATTAGGGTTAGAAATCCATCGAATGGACCAATGTTGCATAAGGCAAATTTCTCTATGGTTTCAATATTCAATTTGTCTCTTCAAAAAGTAATCCTTTATGCTTATACAGTATAATTTTTTTTTTCTAATTAATAAAAAAGATTAATTTATTTTTTTATAAAAAACAAAGATTTAAGATGTCTAATCTTAATCATAAAATAGGTGAGACAAATTATAGATTATATTTAAATTCTATTTATATAGAGTTGGGATTGACTATCTTGATATTTTTTTAATGTCAAAACATTGAAAAAAAATGTAGATAATGCTATGAATTTTATTGTTTTTTATATTTAAAAATGCAAAATTTTTGGGTTTCTAAATTAAACTATATATTTTAACTTGTTCTTTTAAATAAGCATACAAATTTTACATTTTTTTTAAATTTAAGGATACAAATGCTAACCTATCTCTTTGACACGAACAATCTCTAATTTGATTTCCTCCAACATTTCAGAAGGTTTTCTAAATTTTAAATAAATTTTTATTTCTTATTATTAATTTAAAAGTTACAACTTACAACTATCAAATTTGAAATCCCTTTTCTTTCCAATACTAATTATATTTATGGAGATACCCCAAGCAACAGCATGATTTGTAAATTTCATTCTACATATATAATGGGAGCGGTAGCCCATATATCAATATTAACATCATGCATTTATAATGCATACAAATAACCCACGTTATTTTTACTTCTAGTAACAACATATGCCTTATGATCACAAGCTTTTGGGTCAAAAGAAGTAAAGCTTAGATGTGTGCCTTGGTAGTTAAGAGAAGAAATAATAAGTTTTCAAGAAAAGCCTATTTAAAATCAATTACAATTTATTATATCCAAATATGACATCTAGTATTCCTTTAATTTTCTCATCTTGGCAGAGAAATGAGAAGAAAGTGTGTGCTAAAAATCAAAAGTTCAATATTTTTGTTGTGAAATAATTATAAATACTGTACATATGGTTGAAATGGAAGATGAATTTCAATTCCTGAAATATGAGAATAGGATTGATGAAAAGTTGTTCGGTGAAGGAGAGAGAAGCTGAGAAAATGTAATTGTATTACTGAGGAAATGATAGAGGTCTTTATATTAGTGATTATATGGATAAATGTGCAAATTGCTCCAAAAAATTATCACATTGAAGCAAATCACTACAAATATATATATATATATATATATATATTGATGTAATTTATCACTCAAATTTTTATTTTAAAAAAATTGATCCAAATTTAACAGTTTTCTTAAATTATTATTCTTAAAGTTTAATAAAAAGTTTACAGTAATTGTTAAATTTGAAGCAATTTTTTGAAAATAAAAATTTAAGGTAATAAATTACATTAACATTTTTTAAAATAATAATTTATTTCAACACAATAATTTTGAGAAGAATTTACAGTTTTTAAGTATTTTTATTCTTTAAATTGTAAAGAACGACCATATGAACCAACTATATTCCAGAACTTTTTGTTGTTCATCATGAATTCATCTCTTTCTTTTTGATGAATAAAAATTATTTATTTTCGTACTGCTGTGCATAGAACAAATACAAAATCTCAATAAATATCTTCCAAGAAAGCTACTCCGATAAGTCTGCCCATCAATTCATCTTATATTCTAGCGACACCTGAGTTCCTTCACCTGAGTGCAATGTCGAAAGCAACAAGACTTTATAGGATTCAAGAACATAGGTTCTTTTGAAGAAATTCTTGCAAGAGATCATTGATATCAAAACCTGCAAATGTCACAACATTACTATTAGTAAATCAAGGGAGGTAAAATGACAAGAAATTACAGAATATGATTTGGTTTCCTCCAACATTTCAGAAGATTTTTTCAATTTTAATAAAATTTTTATTTCTTATTACTAATTTAAGATCTTCAAACATCAATTACAATCTTTTTTCCGATGCCAATGAACCTTCTTTTTTTTTAATGTTTTTGGTATTTTAAATTTATGAGGATACCCCAAACTGTAGCAATGATTCATAATTTTCATTCTATGTGGCTGTACTGATATATGAACATTAATATCACGCATATAAGGCTTACTTATAACACATTAGTTTTGCTTACATTAACAT